GTGTGTGTGAGAGAGAGAGAGAGTGTGAGTGTGTGAGAGAGAGAGAGAGTGTGAGTGTGTGAGAGAGAGTGTGAGTGTGTGTGAGAGAGAGAGAGAGTGTGAGTGTGTGAGAGAGAGAGAGAGAGTGTGTGTGAGAGAGAGAGAGAGAGTGTGTGTGAGAGAGAGAGAGAGAGAGTGTGAGAGTGTGTGTGTGTAACTCTCCTCATTGAGTTACACACACACACACACACACACACGACTCACGACTTACACATGCTCACGACTCAATCACACTTAGAGCTGTTTCATTAGATAACAGAGTAAAAGAATATTCTGCTGAAGGTGAAGACAGTCAGTTTGGGGTTAGTTAATGATTCCCTGCACCTGTGTGAACTTGAGACTTCACACGTGCACTGAACACCACTGAAACCGACTCAAACACTTCACACATCGCGGAGAGAAGCGGCCATTAAAGCCACACGACATAAAGAGGCGTTTAAAAGCTACGAACATCTAATCTGTTCTCAAAGCAGCTTCACAGAAACAAACTTGTCAACAGCAGCGTATCAATACTCTTAGTCTGGGGTCTGTAGGTTAGTTTACTCACTCTGTAATGCGCCATTGCGAGCGACGGAGTCACGAAGTGTTTGGTTAGATTCGCCGAACGATTCTTCCGCACATGCGCAGAGCAGAACCGGAACACGGACACAAACACTGTCGCCCCGGCAACGATTAAAGGGACCGCGGCGTCAGATTGAGAGCCAGGTGCCTGTTACGAGCGGAAGTGCGGTAAACAAATAGAATATTTCATCTTTTCTTTATTGTTTTTCTTAGATCGTTTTAAAAAATATATATATTTTAGGTTGCTCTTATTATGAGTATTATTAATTATTAGCTTTCGTCATCTCATGTCTGTTTCAAATAAACAACAACAACAAAAAATACAGGGAATAACTTAAATTAGCAACAGAAAAGATTTCAAGCATTCTATAGTACAGTATCTGAACTCAGGTGTGTGTGCGTGTGTGTGTGTCTGTGTGTGTGTGTCTGTGTGTTTGAGCTCAGTAATGTCAGTACAGTATCTGAACTCAGGTGTGTGTGCGTGTGTGTGTGTCTGTGTGTGTGTGTCTGTGTGTTTGAGCTCAGTAATGTCAGTACAGTATCTGAACTCAGGTGTGTGTGCGTGTGTGTGTGTCTGTGTGTGTGTGTCTGTGTGTTTGAGCTCAGTAATGTCAGTACAGTATCTGAACTCAGGTGTGTGTGTGTGTGTGTGTGTGTTTCAGCTCAGTAATGTCAGTACAGTGTCTGAGCTCAGGTGTGTGTGTGTGTGTGTGTG